CCGGACACCGTGTTGGAAGGTCCATCCGTGGACTAGCTTCGACGCGCTCAACGTTTCATTCGGGCAGTCTCCATTCACATCTAGTAAATGTTCTTAGAGCACGGTGGACATTCTCCTCAGTGAGGTGTATTGCAGGACACGGAGAATCGAAACTATGGTCTTGACGCTCAGAGCACCGCAGACACACTAAGCAGGATACAAGTAGACGCCAGAGATCTGGGAACATTTAGCTTTTACGGAGCAAGCAGACATAGATTCAACAGGAGATCATGGACGATTCAACATGATCAAGGATCATCATCCGTGTCATCATCGTTCTCCGCATGTACCTCCGTCGTAGAAAGTACCACAGGAGCACTCGATCCTCCATCGCGCGCACGTGCAGCGTCCAGCAACGCCTGTGCAAAGGCATGGTTGAAACCTACCCGCCTGAAATTGATTTTCCGGGGAAGGACTTGGCCCGTTTCGTACAAACGCCGGGTTTCAGAATGATGCTTCGGGTTGGAAGACGCTTGTATAACCGCCTCGCGAACCTAGAACGGTATGGTCATGTCATAATAATGAGGTTGATTCGCGTTAGCCCAGCGCACCTGCGTCGGTAAGGAATCAAATTCCCCCTTCGTCATCACAACTGCTGACACGCGTTCGTAGGTACCAAGATAGCAGCGCATGGCAGAGACGATGGCAGATAGCTCATTGTGTGATCCCGTGAGCTTGTTGTCTTGTGCCTCTCGCCAATTGCCTTTCTTCGATCTCATGCGTGTCGGTTTCACTAGGTATCCAAAATCGTACGGGCTCTCCCAGACGGCTTCATTGTTGACAAACACATGCTTCACAGATCCGCTGGACAGTCATATTAACATAGAATGACAGTAAGTAACATGAGACTTACAAAATCTGCGAGGTTGGCACAACGAAAATACTTAGGGTTCGAAAGGAACATCAAGACAACTGTAATGCTACGGACCGGTGATACGACCTACGAAACCCTAACCCCTAACCTGGGTGCGACCTAAAGGGACTAGAGACGGATTATAGTCTTAGTGAGAGGGGAGTTAGCAGCAAGGTGTCCCGCGGTTCGAGTGAACACGAGAAACGCCTTCAGAAAAGGCTACGAACGCTAGGGAAGGTACGAGGTGGCTCGACACGTCGTCGAAGCTACTCGGAGGCTGTGGGTGGTTAGTGGAGACGAGCGAAGCTCGGCAGAGCTCTTCGATGTATCGTAGAGGGAAGAGACACGATTCGATAGGGTGGACTTAGCTAGGACGTGGTTCGAGGTGCAACGCAGTTCTTCGACAATAGCCGAAGTCGAAAGGTTCGTCGAGACGGTATCGACGAGTAAACGCAGTAGACGAGGTTTCGAGGTTACGCAGCGAGGAACAAAGTGACGCAGTTAAGGGCTTAGACGCAGGGCGAACTCGACTTATGAGCTCTGAACTCGAGGGGGGAACCGGATCTTGTGTTTTTTGGAGAGAAGTACGACAGATTTTATACTACGCATAGGACGCTACGACTATCGAGAGTGGCACACTAGTACAAGGGGCTTTGCATTGTCCCGCACGAAGCTGCCTCACCGAGTGGCACATATCAAGTCCGTCGGTAGAGTGACGTCATGCCGAACGCGGAGATGAAGAGAAACATATGGACACTTCGGACCGGTGTCCGTCGTTGAAGGCATGCCGCAAGGCTTGATACCTAATCGGGAAAGACCGGCTACATCGGTGTGGCATGGAGCGATGCGCGCGCTTGGACGAGCGGCGTCAAGTGGCCCTATTGTTCGCCGAATGCGGGAGATGTCCCGAGATCTACGTGCGAGTCATCGGGACGACCGTGCCGAGCTTCGAGCAAGCGTCGCGCACCGTCGAAGATGTCGAAGAGCGTCAAAGGCGAAATCGAAGTGTTGGGTGACTGAGTCGAAGTGCCGGGCGGGATGCGACTGCCGAAAAGAGGTGTATCGGGGCCCAGAGGGGCTTGGCGCCTATCACCGGCACCAATGCTTTCACAAGCTTGTTGATAGAGCGTTCCGGAGAACAAATGGGCAGTAGGGAATTACTTTCCACTTCGTTTTGCGGTAGCTGAGATGTCTGGGTGAAGGAGCCTTCCCATTGTTGGATCAAGGTTTGTGCGTTCGCGGACTCCCTCGTGAGACGCGCTACTTCTGCAGCCAGAGAGGCATTGCAGTCCTTGGACCACCCCTTCGTCAGAAGTCACGGAAATTCAACGTGCATGAGCTCACCTCAGCTGCCCGGAGTCGGCGGCGAAGCTGTTCGGTCTCCTCGCTCTGAAATTTCAGCACGATCTGGACTGTGCCTGGTGGTACGTCTATGGTAACTGAAGACATGCCGCGGTGTCTAAGAGCGATGTATGGGAGTTCCTGTGTGCTGCAAGTCTTGCAAGTCTTATACTTGGACTCGCGTTGTTTCCATGAGGCTTGCAGAAGGCTTCCATGGTGTCTATCCCCACGTTATGACAGTACAGATAGAACTTTGATAGTGGGGGGTAAGGTTCTGGGTCGGTTGGGGAAGGTAGCGAATCAAATCTCAGCTGAGCTTATTGAACCTAGACTGGACCCGTGTGCGAGATAGATTTGGGAATGGCCATATGTGTGCACTGTCGATCCTAATTTGACACCATGTAAGAATCTGTTTTTTGTGCAGCGCACGTTGGCGAGAGCATTACTACTTACTACCCCAACCGAGCCTTCCTATCCTCTTCCTCCGTTCACGTTGACAGCATGCCACAGATCGCTCAGCCATCACATTGGGGAATTCGACGAATAGCATGTGCTTGTTTAGAGAGTAACCGATTATGAATCATAGAGTCGGCGTGAGGATGCCCTCGTCTGAGTGTCCGTTTTCACGTTCAAGTACAGGTAGGAGTCGCTTCGTGCCGAGCAACGACCGCTGATGTCGTACCTGACCCGAGGTCCATATTTGGGTGCAACCTCGACGACAACAGAGGACTCCTCCGACCAAAGAGCATCAAAGTCGTCAGCAGCCTCCATGTCTGCATCATCGTAGGGGTCTTCCAAGGAGGAGTCAGCATGCTCAACGAGGAGCTCCTCGTCACGCTGGAGCTCCTCGCGTTGTGCGGCCACGATGTCGTCCATCATTTGCGGAAGCTGCTCTTGGAGCTCCTGCAGACGCACCTGCGCATTGGCCCGAGCCTCTGCCAGCTCCGCTTCGAGATGCGCATTGTCTTCCCCGGAGCTCACTTTTGAGTGTGTTGTCGGAGAAGTTGAGCGAGTAGACGTTTCTGACGGAACCAATTTTCATCAATCCGACTCAAGCTGCGCATTACGGTATTTGCACGCGAAATTTCGAGCACATACGCTAAATGTGCTGGGCAGTCAATCAGAGCCGACGTCGCTCAGTGTCAGCCCAAGCGAAACACCAAGAGGCACCAGTACAGAGCGTGCCTGTGACAGACATCCCACACTAATACATTTCCCTTCGCGAACCACTACGCAGGGTGTTGAGCCGAGTTCATAGATAGATCACGTCAATACGGTGAGCAGTTCGAAAAATATCTGTATCCCATGTTTGAGGTGCTCAGAGCGACCCGGACGCCAGTCGCAAACTTGGATCCAGCTGATAGAATGAGTGATGACAGCGATAGTGCTAGTTGACGAATCGAAAATATAATGCTGGCGTTGTATTCTGAGCTCGAGAGGCTCGAGCTCTGGAGCAGAGAGACGAATGTCGCAGGAGACAGGCACCAGCGCCCAGTGTCGATCAGAAAGGATCAAAGCCGTCGTAGCATTTTTCTGCACAGGCCGTGCATGTACACTTCGTCCTCACCCGGAGTCCCGCTTCATAAGCCGCCTGCGACGCTTGCTTATTTCTACTCGAGCCTACAATGTCTACGAGGCTCTTCCTGTTCGAAATCCTTCAAAATGTCTGGCGGCAGTCGCATCGTTGGACACCTCGACGTTGCGGTCTGTCACGAGAAACTTCAAGGTTCCTGCTGTTAACTGTTGTCGAATCAACTGTGTATTGGTGACCTACCTTGCGGGTCTATTATGAAACCGTACCTCAACTACTCTGAGTTTGTGCTTCATTGGTCGTATCGCACATGATTCATAGGCATCATAGGTGCGTCGTAAATGCACCGCCTCTCATCCGTGTGGAAGGCTGACCCATATGGACAGATCATGCAGAACATTCGTTCATCGATTGTCGCTGCATTGTCTAGTCAAAAGATCCCGAGTCCGTACTATACAAGTGTGACATCTTCACGCAGCCCCCTTTATATCCCCATGAGTGGCCCATGAACGCCATAGCTCGTCCAAAGATCCATATCCGCCCTCCACTGAATTCCAGATGATTGCCTTTGCCCGTGGTGCGCCGCGCTCAACCTCTGTGCTCGTTTAAAACAGACGTATCCGAGCTTCGATGATTCATAGGTGAGTGGATTTGCCTGCGCGTTGGGCCTGTTGTTCCTCCCATCGAGGCCTGTATCGCTCATTCAAAACCCAAAAAACGGAACTCTTGGGCTCGGGGTCTGACTCGTTGCTCAACTCGTGTCCGATATCGAGCCCCAGCGCGTTCGGACCATCAATTCGGAAGGGAAAATAATGGTCGTAGTCGGGTGCCTCATCCTGCTTTTGTAGCTGAACACTCCATGAATGCCTGTTGGTTGATTCAAACAGATACAACACTCGCCAGGAGATAACTCGTGTTCTTGAGCTCTTCGGGAATATCCTGTGGTGTCTGCGGCCCCGGGGATTCTACTTCATCGTCGAGGCCGCGGGGCGACAGTCTGGGTGTTATAGGGGGAAGTGGCTGTGGCCTGTGCACTGGTGCGAGGTACCCAGCAAGCCGAAGGTCTCTCGAAGACGCAGTCGTTGGAATTGGCTGGTGATAATTTAACACGACGTGGGTTCTTGTGGGATGGTGGCTGACCTTGCGAAATGATGCTACTATCTGTTGTAGTATGTCATAGTTACTCGTGTTTGCGTCATCAATAGTTGCCACGGAGTCGAGCTCCGTAAGCTCAGACGCGGCGTAGGTGTAGGTATTGGCGTCTGGGCTGGTGGGGACGCGCTCGGTGTTTGAAGTATCGAGAATGGAGGCCATTGTACCAGTGAGGATTGGAATGTTGGGTATGATGATTGCTGGATGGAGATTCTCGGTGACGGAAGGTGTGTGCGCGAGAGAGTGCAGGCAGAGCGAAGATGTGTAGAAGTGCAAAGCAAGTAGCTCACTTGAGTGGCGTTCTGTGCATCCGGCGCCTACGCGCCTACGCGCATCGCGTGCCCGTGTTTGTGCCCGTGACCTGCCCGGTCACTACACGCGCCCTTCGCGGAGACACAGTCACAGTGTCGTTAATGTATTCGTGAATGGTAACAAAGGTTTGGCTTGACGGTCTTACCATTGTCAGGTAAGCACAGAGCTTCTCACTAGGATATGGCGTACTGGCTAAGTAACTACACCAGCTGGCAGCCATATTGAGCATGCATTGAGCCGGAACAGTGGGTTGTCCCGGTATAAACTCCTCGGTCGGTTCCATGAATCTGTTTCTATACGAGTGCAGAATATGATGTTAACGTCTGTCGAAAGACATGGGCATCCGTCTCTACGAGTCGCACATGGAACGAGCACAACCGACGTGGTCGCAGAAGACTGGATATATTTGTGTGATGCGTCGTTCTCGCACCAGGCGTCTCATTTCTAGTATCTACAGCGTACACTGTCGGCGGTGCCCAGAATTTGCTCTCACTATCGTCATGCACGACTACGGATCTCTCGAGCTTCAGCATCTTTTCATGCATGCTATCGCTGATTGATAATGTTCCTCAGAGTCACGAAGCATCGGGCTTATGTAGATGGTCGAGCGAGGCCGGGTGCATTCATTCCTGATCTGACTGTGTATCCCTGTTACTATATGGCCGAAAACAATGCACGAAGGGTAAGTGCTCTGACCAATATGTCCATAAAGACAGAGACTAATTATGCAAGGGGCGCGGATTAGATCTACTTCATACAAATGAACTGCGAAGTGCATGTCAAATACGTTTTCTTCCTACAAAATTGGTGCGTCCTCACGTCGATCGAAGATGGCCACGACGTCATAGGTCGCGATCGTCCACAAAAGGCAGGTCAACGAGGACGCCTTGGACAGAAAGTCGAACATGGCGGAGGGGACGAATGAGCATCGCTTACATACGCTGGCGGCGCGACATAAAGCCAGCCATGTTCGACTTTCCCCTCTCTCCAGCACCATCACCACCCCGCACCCTCTCGCAATATGCTCATTCCCATTCAGCTCATTCTCACCGGTCTCCTGGCGCTCCTGGCGGCGCTGCACGGGCCCGACCTGCTCGACGTGCACGGCATCGACGTGCTCATTGATGGCGTCGTCACCGGTGTCATCGTTGCTCGCGACCGCACGGACTATCTCGTGTATGTCTTCTCTTCCATTCTACATCTACTTGGGCTTACTGCCTTCCAGTCGGACAGTCGTCGACTCGGCGGTGTCGAGCACGTTCCGGTTGTTCGACACTCCTCCCCAGACAGCCCTCCGAGACTGTGGTCGCGTCGACGTTATCTACGTACCGGTTCTCGTGGGCAATGTGTCAATGGACCTGGACGACATGGTCTGCCCCGCCGTCTGGGATGTGTTCATGGCGCCCGACATCGTTCTCCCTTCGACCTCAGGACCGTCAAGCCCGCTCACTGAGGACCGTGTCACGTCGTTGTCTGCACAGCTCGTCGAGGTTGTCAACATTCCCTCGACCCTGCCGTGGACGACACAGCCTGTCTCGACCATCGACGTCTCCACGATGCCTTCCCCACTCGAGGGTATCACCTTGTTTGGTCTCATCGCCGTTCTCCTTCTCACGCCCGTGGCCGCTGTTGCGTGCCTCATGAAGCATAGGGTGGTATCCAAGGTCCGGAAGCAATTGAACGTCGAAGCGGGGCCTAGAGCCTCTCCGTTCAACCCAGCTATTCCGGACACACCCAAGGTAATATCTAATGTAGTCACATCAAGCATCATACTCATGAGTCGTTGCAGCCTTCAACATCGCACACCACCACATCGGAGACTCCTGAGACCCCCGAGGGCTACTACGTTGACCTCGAGTACACCCCAGACCCTGTCGGGTTCTTCATGTTTGTCTTCACTGACGTGTCCGACTTTCTCCTGGGACTCGTCAAGGACGTCGTCTTGCCTTCATCGATCTCAAAGGACGACGAAACACTTGGATGCTTTAATTCTTTCTACGAGTTTATGGCCGAGCTTAAACTAGTTCCCTCGGTCCTCGAGGTTGGTGTCCTTGCTCGTAACATTGAATGCCATGCTTATATAGATTGCCAGAGTGTCGACGCGTGTGGGCAGCAGAGTCTGGTACTCTCGTCCCCGTCGACACCCTCTAATCTTGTGGAAGACATTCAAGTGTCCTCGTCCCCAATCGTTCAAGACGATATTCCTACGACTGTCCCTAACACAACTTCCCCTGCTCCTCTCACGGCGCTGTCGCCTCTTCTCCCCGCCTTCTCCCTCTCCCCGCTACCTGGCTCCAAGTCGCCCATTGCGCAGCCATCCACACGGTCCAGCAAGTCATGGGCATGTGCCATTGACCTATACCTGAGCATCCGCTCCTCGCAGAAGATGCAGGATAGCGAGCCCGCTCAGTCTGCATCTCTAGACCCGACGAGGTACCGTCCCATGCCGTACTTCAAGAATGGCACACTCCAAGAAGGCATCGTCGATACGCACGTCGGATGGAACGAGCCGCTTGTGTTTCCAGATGCGGCCGAGGAGAACGATCCGGTACCGCGGTCGGTGGCACGAGACCAGCTCTACGATGTGATGAATAGCGGCATCGCGCGCAAGACATCCGGCGCGAGCATCGAGCGAATGCACAACCCGAGGACGCGGAGACGGAAGCGACGAAGGAAGGGTGACGCCCCCGATGTCGCAGAATCGAGCGGGACGACAGCTGATAGTGATGCGCCCGCTGCGTCTGCGTTTGCCTTAGAGGTCGCACAGGTACGTGTTCATTCTTTGTCGTCCTGTGTGACGCTGATTCAATTGTGATCAGCCCGTTGCGCGAGAGCCTCTCCGGCAGAGGCCCGTCATCGCGCGCGACGGACTCGCTGCGATTCGAGGCGTACTGGCGCCCTCTCCTCGCCGACCCAGAGCATCGGTAAGCCCTAATGTTTGTATTTCTCTGTGCACTATATAAACATCATACAGGTTATCATTCCCGTATCTCCCGTCGCCCCTCCCCCGCCTCCGCCAAGGATCACATCGTTTGTGGTCCACAATGCAAGCCCATCCTCGAAGCCTGGAATGCTTCCTCCTAGATCCCCCATCCTCTCTCCTTCTGACGACCTTTGGAAACCCTTAATTCGCCCCGACGGATCCTCCGCCCCCTCCTCCAAGCTGCCTGCAGCTCGTGTCCGTACGCTTCCTCCTCCCTCTCGTCAAACTCCCAACACCTCTCGCGGTCCTGCTATGACTGTGGAACAATATCTATTCAATGTGCCTGTCCGCGTCGTTTCTGGCAAGCGAGGCAAGGGCAAGCAAGTCTCCCAGCCGATGTTGTTCCATGATGTACTCGACTCGCTTCAAGAACCTCCCGAAGACTCCGTTGCCCCTGCCACCATGTAATGAACCATCATCTCTCCAAATGATCTTCGCCCGCCTTCACCTCGCGCCCAATGCCCTCATTCTCGATTCCTCCCTGAACTCGAACCCTTTCAATACACCACTCTAGGCCTCCCTCCTCGAAGATAATGATCCTCAATTCGCCGACATCCCTCACGTTGCAGATAGCTCTCCATATCATAATACTGGACCAAAAGTATTGTTCCTACCTATTTTGGCGCGTATATACCTATATCTCTATTACGCGGACATTACTTTCCCACCTCTTGCTCCCTGTATCATTCATCCCCATGGTGCCCATTGAGTCTTATCACAAATACAGTCTATCTTTCGCTAGATATATGGTCATATGTGACCACGCACACTTCATTCGAATATCTTGTCGATGTAGCATTTAGTCTGCGATGTGGTCTCTCTTTAGAATCAAATCAAAGTATCATCACATTACTTCGCGTTCGCCGCAGGCCTGCTCGAACAACTTGCTACCATAATGACACACGCAAGAACACAAGTGCCCACTTGCATGTAAACGTCGAGCTCCGTCGCATGTACGCATTCCAGCTGTTCTGTCGAGTTCCAGGCTATGATCTTCTCTACATCGAAGAACTGCATACTGCTAGTCGTATTCTCGGAAGAACACAGCAACAGAGGAGAATTGAAAGTAATTGGCTTGGCCGAGCGGGAGCAATCTTAGCTCGATTAATGTTCTTCCGCCGAGCATCCTCGGGCGCTTCCAGCCTCGAACCAAGTCCAACACTGTTCAACACGACAAACACCGCTTTGTTTGGGACCGGACATTTATTCTCCTCCGTCTGCTCGTCGAGGAACACGGTCCGAGCATCCGTTGTCCAGACGTACATACTCCCGGCATCGGAAAATTTCATCGCACCTACGGGCGGACCAACCGAATCCGAGGTTGATCATCTGCCGATACTCGCGGGTGCGGGGCAGGGCTGGGAGACCTGAGACTCTGCGTGGATACATGCTGGATCCATCAAAACACTGTGACAGTGCGCGCTCGGTAGGACCGGCCATGAAATGCAATCGAATGCTGCATGTAGCAGCGTTGATGGCACAATGCGAGCGTCGCATATGGCAACGAGGTAGTCTTCAGTCGTGAAAGTCAACTGACGAGCGGAAGAAGCGGAGGAGAGTGGATTGGCGAGACAGGACGAGGCCACTCCGAGCGAGGTTCCGGAGTCTCAGCTTGACATCTTGATGGCCGCCTCGCATCGCAGGTGGGCGTCTGCCCCGCGTTACCCCGTGGCACGCCAACCCCCCCGGTCCCAATTCCGTCGCGGAGACGGTCACCTGGTCCCTGCATACGTTGATGCGCGTTCCCAGACAAGACGGACCATGTGCACACCCAGCCCTGTGATACCTCCACGTCGCGCAGAGTTTGCAGAAATGCTCCTTCACCGTCCTCGGACGCGAACGTACAAGGCACCGATCGCACAGAGCCGATGCTGTCTTTTCACAGCCGGCATGCATCACTTTCCCCGCACACGTATAAGTACCGCGCAGCTTCTATGACCGACGCCGTGCCTTCCCCACACCAGCCTCGCTCACGACCCGACTCTGCCTTGGTCTCAGCCACGCATGTCGAACCCTGAGAAGGTCGAACCGGCCCACGTCGAGGATGCTAGCAGCATCGACAAGGGCCAGCAGTATGGCAACCTCAATGCGCTCGCGCACGCGGCTGCCACAGAGAGGGCGCTCACGCCTTGGCACGCCGTCCGTGTATACTGGAAGGCGACGTTCTGGTGTCTATTCATGTGCATGGGGGCGCTCCTGTGGGGGTACGACTCGCAGGTGAGCCGACCTTCGTCGGATGCACCGGCATCGGCTACTAATGATTGCATCCCACTATTGCCCGCGGTGTGTGTAGGTCGGAGGTGGTCTGCTCAGTGTGCCCTCCTTCCGGCGTGACTTTGGCTTCGAGAGCGATGACGGCTACATTCTTGCGGCACGATGGCAGAGCGCCTTCAACAGCATAAGCTCCGTTGGTGGAATGTTCGGCGGTCTTTCCCTTGGTTATGTATCGGATAAATTTGGGTGCGTGTGCATCTTGGGTCCGGTCCGTGCATCCGTCTTCATTGTTCGCTCTGCGTTCTAGGCGGCGAGGCGCGGTCGCGCTCTGTTGCGTCGTGTCCATCGCCGGCATCTTCATTCAGTTCTTCACGTACCCACACAGAAATGCACAACTGCTTGTCGGAAAGCTAGTCAACGGATACGCTCTGGGTATGCTCTAGCCTCTGCCATCGATGTGGTTTATTAAAATGGCTGTCCAGGAATGTACGTTTCCGGTGCTAGTTCGTACTGTTCCGAAGTGTCACCACTGGCGCTGCGGGGTATCACGACGGCGTCTGTGAACTTGTGGATCGACTGTGAGTATCTAGCGGCCAAGCCTTGCGTGAGAATGATGTCTGACTGGGGCATTTACCTTTAGTGGGCCAATTGTGAGCGGAAATTGAGGTCTCGAGAGCGCACCGTTCTCAGTATATTCTCCCAGCATGTCGAATGGCGTGATCAAAGGTACTGGGAATTGGACGAGCGCATACGCGTACAGGCTACCCTTGTCAGTGAAGATACTCATTTCCTGTTCGACTCACGTCATTGACCGACGTCCGCGTATAGCATCTTGCAAATGATCTTCCCCGTCATCCTGCTCGCAGGCCTCCCTTTCGCGCCCGAGTCGCCGTGGTGGCTCGTGCGCAAGGGCCGCAAGGAGGAGGCGCGCAAGATCCTCCTGCGCCTCTCTGGCGAGACGACCGACGTCGACCTGCAGCTGCAGCAGATCCAGGATACGATTATCCTAGAGGACACGTTTGCCGCGAACTCAACCTATGCGGATTGTTTCCGGGGTGAGCGTTCTGCGCGAAGGTCTGCACGCAACGACGTTGACGTGATGATGGGTGTCAGGCACGAATCTGAGGCGCACGATGATCGCGTGCATGGTGTTCGTGCTCCAGCAGGCGGCAGGTGAGCTAGTCGGGACTCGACTGGTGCCTTGAGACCTGGGAGCTAATTCGAACCAGGTGTCGTCTTCGTGCTTGGCTTCAGCACGTACTTCTTCGAGCTGGCCGGGTTTGCGGACAGCAAGGCGTTCGATCTCGGCGTCGGTGTTACTGCCATCGGTGTAAGTACGCTTCCTCGATTGTCAGACCATTGTGACTGATGCTCGTTACTCTGTGCAGGTTGTGGGCAACCTGTTCACGTTCTACACCGTCAACCGGTACGGACGTCGGTTCATCTTCAACTGGACGTTGTTCGCGTGCACCATCCTCCTGCTCATCATCGGCTTCCTCGCGATCCCGACGAACAACCAAAAGGCGAAGTGGGCGATTGCTGCACTGGTGGGTCAGCCTTGTTCCTGCGTTCTCTGTACAATGAGACGCCTCGTCTCGTGCTGATCATTTTGGGACCGCGACAGACGCTCGTGTACAACTTCGTATACCAGACCGGAATGTGAGCGTCCAGTGATGGTATCCTGGTCTGTGGCTGACGGACGCCGCCTGCAGAGGTCCTCTGGGCTACGTCATCTTCGCGGAAGTCTCGTCGGCTAAGCTGCGCTCGAAGACGGTCGGCATCGGCATCCTCGTCAACTCGCTATGCGGCATGATCATGAACATCGTCGACCCCTACCTGTGAGTCGCTGCTCTTTCCCTTGTATCTGATCAGGAACTACGTGCCAACGGAAATCATTTAATCAGCGTGAACCCCGACGAGGCTAACCTCGGAGGGAAAGTGGGCTTCATCTTCGGCGGCCTAGCGGCGCTGGGCGTGGTCTGGGCATACTTCTACATCCCAGAGACGAAGAATCGCACCGTCGACGAGTAAGGCCTTCATCCCTGTCGGTTCTTGTGCACGGATGGCTGACCTGTGTGCCTCTCTATCCAGGCTCGACACGATGTTCGAGCGGCGCGTCCCGCCGCACAAATTTGCCTCGTACAAGGTTGAGGATGAAGACATGATCGTGGATGACGTCAAGCGATAGCGACGTACATCCTTGCCTGGTATTAGTTTTTCGCCTTGGGTTTCTGTTCATCGTCGCGGTCTGTCTATCGTTGGTATGACTCGCCATGATATTCACGAGGAACAGTCAGAGCTCTTGTAGTACTAGCTTTCATGACACGCTGATGAGTACATGATATGAATGCGTACATTATCTGTAATCTGTTAATTCAATGATAAAGACTTCCGTATGACGAATGCACGCTCACTCCCAGTCGCCTGTACCGTTGGACCTGTCCTTGAGATAGTTGAGCATAAATTACGTTGTGGGAGGATGAATTGCAGCGTCGTTCGGAGTTGGTTGAAGGGATTTGGCGACTATATGCTAGCTAGAATAAAGAAGGAAATGAAATGGCCGCGTAGAACAGACTATATGCGCTTTTCGCGAAATAACCACAAACAACACGACACGTAGAAACAAACCGCACCCAACTCGTCGCGCGCGTACGTGGAACCCGACAGGTCTCGAAGCGTGCTTTAATAGCAACACACGTGCGAGGTAATAACAAAGACGCGACGATATCGCGAAGCACACCCGAATAACTTCACACGATCACGGACTAGTACGCAGCCCTCACAGCGCGCTCGACACCGACGTACTTACACGAAATGTCTCGAAAGGGACCCGAACAGTCACGCGCGTATGATGTCCAAACGAATAGTGGACTTACTATGTGTCGACAAAGCTTGTGTTGGTCACGATTGGGACGAGGGATCCTGTTGCGAGGAAAGAGAGATGATGGAAGTTCGAGTAAGAGGAGGAAACCTACATTTCTCGGCGTCCACGCTGTTTTTTCTACGGACAGAGAGACCGTGACAGCTATGAGATCATATGCGACTTGCGAGGAGAGAATGACGCACGACGAAGCCGTTGATCGACACATCTTCCCGGAATAGAAAACACCTTCCAAATCGAGATGGGAGCCCTTTCCTGGGCACAAGCAAGCTAGGCCCGACGCTTCGAGATTGATTCAGCAACCACCAATGTCTCAGCCTCTCGAGGATGATGTCTCCGTCGCACCATATTTACGTGCGCGTCCTGCCGCCCTCAGGAGCGTGGTGACGCCGGCACCCTCGATTGACCTACAGTGACCACATCATCTCTCTGTCCACGTCGTCTTCGCAAGCCCTGAGTCGAGAGGAAATATTCAGACGCACTTTTCACTTGTGTTCGATAGCAGTCAATAAGAAAAGAAAAGAGAAGAGAAGGAAAGGAAAAGAAGGAGCGTATCTGCTGATGTTTCTTACAGGATCCTTCCATCGACGTTGCTTCGACCTCAACGCGTTCTCCTCCACCACAACGCCTTTATCTCCAAAAGGACATGTGCATTATGTGTATGCAGTCCAGTAGATCCGAATACAAACGGGAGATTTCAATTGTCAACTCATTGCAATATATATATGTCAAAAGTCGTCTACAGAACCTCGGAAATTGAAATTTGTATTCTTAATTATAGATTTACCAGACCTGTTGAACTGTTTATTTTCTCATTGCATGTAACGTGCCACAAGTCGGTTTGCTGTATTATTTTCAAGAACCGACCTCTCCGTTGTGTTAAGGGAAGTGCGTTTGGTGTTACGTTCCAGATGATCGTACTGTTGATTGTATGATAGACCCAGTCATATTCTGTATCAGGAAGAATCACCAAACCTACATAGACCTCGTACGCGCCATGGCCGCCCAAACCAGCGCCACCTCCAGCGCAATCTGATTGCGACTCGAGGCCTCTGCCACTGCCGGACGAGAAAGGGAGTGCACATGATACTCCCGGTGGCGAATCTGACGTTCATTCAATGATATTTGCAAGAGAAACATTTTGAAAGGCGTATATTTCTCACGAGGACTCGGATAGATGTGAACTAAAGACAGTCACTATGCAGCCGTCTGGCGTCGGGCCGGCAGATCAACCGCGAGGTGTGGTATCTGCAAGTTAGATATGCATCATTGCAGTACGCTGACGTGTCTCGCACGTACATTCTCAAGCTCTATTTCGCGCTCAGCGTGAAGGTCTGGCGGCATCTCCTGACATTCTGAGTTGATACTGACTAAGATGTTGCCCTCATGGTAATGTCGCTTTCTGAAGCGGTTGCGCACATTCAGCCTTAAAAAAAGAATGTCACAACCTGTGACTCTGGTGAAAATATCGGCGACGTACAGAGCTAACAGCGAGTTCACGTACACTACTTTTCGTCAGGATCAATTCGCGGGGCCAAAGAGAAATCCGTCCCACTCACGATTACTTGCAGGATTGTACAACATCGCCCACCACAAGTCATCCAGGGTGACGATCATCTACGGGTTGTTCTGCCTGAATGCTGACTACTTTGAGCGAGTGAGAGGCCTCACCATGATTAAAATGACAACCTGTACCGTGCTAATTGCATTTTAGACCATGCACAATGAGACGAAGAGGCGATGACATACGTAGTCAAGATCCCGCGACTGGTGATATAAAAGGTGAGCTCCATGATTAATTCCCTCGTCCTATATCATATGTTAATGGATATGATATGCTGCATGCGCCCTACACACCCCCGTATTACCGATTTCTTTCGGTATAGGACCCTGCACATTATTAGGGTAATGTAGATATCTGCTATTGCAGCCAATAAAACGGCTGTGCGCGCTGGCCACTGGCTTGAACGTGAACCATGATTTAGTGAGAATGTAAAATGAAACACACTTTGTTCTCGTTGTCCGAAACAATGATGTTGTTGTTTATACTCCTGCAAATACGTAAGCAGGTGAGGTTTCACGATAATATATATGTCATACATATTGTAAGTTACAACTGAGCATATGAATAGTTGTAAGATATCGACGAGATGCTGCAACGAAGCACATGCCTATGCAACTTGCTAAAGGGTGATTTCTTGAGCACGCAGTGCAGAAAGGCCATGAAAAAGAACGTTACCGAAGGCTCCAAAAGATATGATTGACTATGAGAGCACATGAGAACGGCTTGCAACGGCGCAAAAATCATGAAATCGTACCATGTGTATTGTCAGAGGTAAACGATACCATCTCGGCGGCAGGACTGCGAGAGGTCTATGGTCAGCCTCCTCTTCCTTACAACTCAGAGTCTTGAATCACGTTTACGGGTACAGTAGATATAATACCTGTGAACACAGTGAGATTCGTTGACTCACGCTGTCATAACTTCATACTGACTGTTGCACTACTGTAATTATGAATCCCTGCCAGAAATGAGTGCGACTGGTATCATGCGTTGACAGAGATACGAACTCACTCCAAGAGCCCAGACAACCTTTTCGAGTGTTCAGCCTTAGAAGAACCATGAGATTGACATTCAATAGACACTACCATGGACGCACTGTCCGTTTCCATTAATTTCTGTACTCATGCACGCAGACGTACAGACCAGACTCACGGAGAGATTGCCACATTGCGCAGCAAGTCTTCGTGGTGTGCTACGTTTTCCACCCACGATACCTGATGGAATATCGTTATGCTATGGTGCATTAAGTGTCATGTCAAACGTGGAATGATACTAACCACTGCAATTGACACTATTTTGATGGTATCCATGAAGCTCATAACATGAAGCATTCGGCTTCATTCCCGTAGTAGTACTCAATCGTAGGATTTAGGACTCACCAGAGAAAAGCAATCTTGGGCGCAGCTCTAAGCCTGATGTACATCTTCATAGGAAATATGGCTCACAAAGCATCTCAAAGATACGTGATCCTTGTGGTAATGGCGAAAATAGTAAACTGTCTGTGCGAGTGACAATCCATAGAGCCTGAGATCGATTGAATCAGTCTGACGCTCGAGTGTGGGTATTGTCGAGTGTACGTACATGGAACTGATAGTACACCCAATGAAGTATGCGCCGACCGTATTGTTCAGCGAGGTGGCAGGGTCGGTCATAACTCACGTTGAGCAAATGAAGGAAGGAGTGCGGTGGGCAAATGTGGTATCGCAGTCGCCTAGCAACTTCATCCCCTTTGTATATATATCGACACAACATTCAGTACTGTAGAACCTGATGCATCATCATAAATCAGAGATGGACACTGGCAGGAGCCACTAATAGAGTTTGACTTCTCGTAACTCGAACTGTCTGTAACGATTAGATCACAGGCACCCCGGGGTCTAGCAGCACTTATGGTTGGGACTTCCCAATACATATCCGGTAGCGTCTCGCGAGTTGGTGAAGGCATTGGAGTTGAGCGCCTTCAGCGTAGGCGCCCAATCAATCGCTTGTTGCATCGGGGAAGTAACAAGTGTGGCGAAGCCGCACTTTTGCTCAATGGCAGTATCCATCCCTTGGAGACACCCCCCATCGCTGAATGTGCAGATTGTACATGTAGAATACAGTATTCGTGATTTATTCCTCAAATTTCGTGACCAGGAACATATTTCAGGCGCCACATGCAATTGGGCGTTTCAAGGACCGGCGTACTGTCATCATGCAATCGAACTGCCGTGAGAATGCCGGCATTGAAGCCGTGCCGGCATGCCGAACCGATCGGGCTCCTTTTTTTAGGTCAGCTTCGAAAGGCTTGGCAGGGCTTCCCACTCTTGCCGTACTCAATTCGTCAACGAATTTGCTGCCTCTGCGCTTCGTCTGAGTTTTTTCGCCTTGCATTCGCGCTGAGTTGTACGTGCATGGCACCTCCCTATAGATTGCTTTTCGGAACAATATCTTGCTCACGCACACGCCTGGTACTTGAGAGCGGTTCTTGATTCGTCAATTGTTCGTGACTCCGAGTCTGAGTCCAGTCTCCAAAGGCGTGGATCAACTGAGGATGTCGGCGCGGCCGAACTTATCGCGTGGGGCCCCGCGTCTTGTTATCGCGAACGGCACGTTTGCGGCACAATATAAGGGGGTCATGAACGAGTGTCTGCGCCGAGCTCCCCGCTCAGCAGGCCGTGGACACCGCCAGTTGTGTAGTCTTGCTTCAGCGTACCTGTCCGGGCAGGAACAGCCTTTCTCTTTTCCCAACGATGGATCCAGAGAAGGACGTCAAGACCGACTCGGAAGTATCGTCGGTTGTGGAGGCGACGCAGGTGCTTGAGAAGGACATCACAGAGATTGATCTCGATGAGAAGGTGGCAGACCAGCCTCAAAAGACATCCCCTCAGCAGGCCGTGCATCAGTCGCGCAAGCTCGAATTCGACACAGGAGAGGAGCATCTGAACTTTAGGCATCATTGGTGGCAGCTATGGTTCGTTAAATTTGTTCATTTGCATTGAGCCCATCTCCTGACCGTCATGATAGGCTTCCCAAGGATCCGCCACCCCCTGCGCCCAAGTCCTTGGCCGATGCACAGGTACGCTCCTTGAGCCTTGCATGTTGCTTGAAGGTTGTCTTACCGGGTATGCACAGGTCATTCCCATGGTTTATGCGTCTATCTTCTCGATCTTGACCTATACGTGGATCAACCCGCTCATGGTCTGTCCTAAAACCACTCTGAATTTGCTTTGCGTAGGCTGATGCACTTCAGACGCTCGGCTACCAACGCACACTGCAAGCGACGGACCTGTGGAAGGTGGATGAGTCTCGCGAGTCCGGCAACCTTGGGTCGCAGCTCGATGCGGCATGGGCGCGGCGCGTCAAGGAGGCAGACGAGTGGAACGCGCGCCTTGCGTCCGGTGAGATCAAGCCAAGCACTTGGACGCGCGCGAAGTGGTTCCTGGCATGCGCGGGCTTTGGTAGGCGGCGGGCAGAGCGGGAGCGGCAGTGGCGCGAAAAGGACGGGCGGAAGGAGGCGAGCCTCGCGTGGGCGTTGAATGATGTGTTTGGCTGGACGTTCTGGACGGGCGGCGCGTTCAAGGTGCGCATACATGCGCGATGTATATACGTGGACAGAGAGAATGATGAAGGCTGTGTGTTACAGGTCATTGGCGATACATCGCAACTGATGGGTCCTCTAATCGTTCGCGTGCGTATTTATCGCGGTGTCGAGTTTGCCGTCACAGAGAACAATATTGTTTATATACAGGCCATCATTAACTTCAGCGATGCACGGGTCGCAGCGCAAGCACGCGGCGAGCCGCTGCCCCACATTGGAAGAGGTGTCGGAATGGCGATTGGGATATTCTGTACGACCGTTACGGCAAGTGTATGTCAACATCAGGTAGGTGCAGTGACTTCTAGTTTCCCATTATTTCCTCTGAACGTGCACATTGCAAATTTTGTACGCAGTTCTTCTGGCGCTCCATGACGACTGGCCTACTAGCTCGGGCGGCATTGATCAGCTCTATCTACAAACGAGGGGTTTCTCTCACAGGCAGAGCTCGTACAAACCTCCCTAACGCGAAACTGGTCACGCATATATCTACCGATGTAAGATGGGAAGGCATTACGGAAAATGACGAGCAGATACTGATAGAGTTCTCCGTAGGTCAGTCGCGTGGATGCCTGCGCACAGTGGTTTGTGAGTGAACAACTGAATTACATTCCATTCATCCTGTTTAACGATCACCATGACCTGCCCTTCGCATAGCATGCTAGTAAGCAGCTATAGTCTATAATGATGTCACTGCGCTCACTACAGACGAATAGCCTGGACCGCCCCGATTCAAGTAACGATCTGTCTGATAATCCTACTAGTCGAGGTGAATCATCCTCCACTGGTAATTGTCGCTAGACACTGAGAGCGCTACTCGTCTAGTTGGGCCCTTCTGCCCTAGCAGGATTCTCGCTGTTCCTCCTGATAATTCCCGTACAAGAGCGCGTCATGTCTTTCCAATTCGGCATCGGCAAGAAGACGCTCAAATGGACGGACAAGCGGTCGAAGCTCATCTTGGAGGTTCTTGGTACGCTATTTCTTCCGCAACCACAACCCAATCTTAATGGTTCATCAGGGGCTATGCGCGTTGTGAAATTCTTCTCCTATGAAGCGCCATTCCTGAAACGTACGTGACATAACTACCATTCATGTGATGGGCAACGCTCATGGGAAAGTGTAGGTATCTACGGGATGCGGGGTGCCGAACTAGAAGGCATCAGGAAGATCCAGTTCGCGCGTTCGGCCAAGTGTGTTCTCCCTAAAGCTAGGGGTCTACGTCAATGGCTCAATTTGCGACTACAGCATTGCCTCAGCGTACTCGGTCCCTGTTTTGGCTGCGACTTTGTCTTTTGTGACATATACGTCAACCAGCCACTCATTCAACGTAGCGATCATCTTCTCGTCATTATCCCTATTTAACGTGCGTAGCTCAATCTCACACTCTTGAGAAGCGTCATAATACCTACGCATCGTTACAGCTTCTACGGCAACCTCTCATGTTCCTTCCTCGTGCGCTCTCTGCCACCACCGACGCGCAGAATGCATTGGAGCGTTTGAAGGACCTCTTCCATGCCGAATTGATGGATGGCGAGCCGTTCGCCGTCAACCCAGTGCAGGAGCCTGCATTGCTCGTCGAGGACGCGACTTTCGAATGGGAGGAAAGCTTGGGTAACCGAGAGATGATTGAGAACGCCAAGGTCACGGAGAAGGCTGCTGCCATAGCCCAAGCAGGGGCTCCCTTCCAGGTCCGTGACATCAACATGTCGGTTCCCAGAGGCTCCCTAGTGGCTGTCGTCGGGTCCGTAGGCAGGTAAGCCTTATTCTATTGATCCTGCAAAAGAGTCATCCTGATGGTACGACCTGCAGCGGCAAGGTGATTACTCTATTAATCATATGAGGCGTTGTCTGATAGCGCGAAAACCAGTCAAGTCTACTCCAAGGCCTGATCGGAGAGATGCGGAAGATCCGTGGTAACGTTACGTTTGGAGGCAAGGTGGCTTACTGCTCGCAAACAGCTTGGATACAAAATGCTACGATGGTACGAAAGACAATTCTTCTTGAGTGTCATGAATGCTGAAACCGCATGTAGCAAGAGAACATCTTGTTCGGACAACCGTTTGAGGAGGAGAGAGTCAGCCGTTTCCACATCGTAACACAATATGCACTGACGAGTAGTATATGCATCTAGTATTGGAAAGCTGTTGAGAACGCATCACTGCTTCCTGATCTTGAGGTTCTTCCGGATGGCGATTTGACAGAGGTAAGCACGAGCGCTAGCCCATTCGTATGAAACCGTAGCTCAAACCCGTGGTTTCCAGATCGGCGAGAAGGGCATCAATTTGAGTGGTGGCCAAAAGCAACGTGTAAGCGACGTGTTGCTTTGGGGCCCCTGGACTGTATTTCTAAGATCATGATAGGTGAACATCGCAAGAGCATTGTATTATAATGCCGATACCGTCATCTTCGACGACCCTCTTTCTGCTGGTCAGTTTCCTGCCATGACAATGGGAGAATTCTTGCTGACTTGACGCACCCTGTAGTTGATGCGCATGTGGGGAAGGCTCTTTTCGCCGATGCCATCCTGGGAGCCCTACGATCGAACGGCAAAACAATCATACTTGTCACTCATGCGCTGCATTTCCTATCGCAATGTGATTACATCTACACGATCAAGGCATGCTTTCCAACCACTAGAGAGATTCTGAAACTGATTTACCATACCATAGGATGGGCGCATTGAAGAACAAGGGACGTTCAACGAACTTATCAGTAATGATCGTGTATTTTCGCGTCTTATCGGCGAATTCGGTGGAACGGCAAGCAAGGATGAAGACTCAGAGGCACCCCAGGGCCAGGAAATACAAGCAGTCGATGAGGACAAAATCAAGGCTGAATCGGCGAAGCGTGCTGTCGCAGGCACAGGAAAGTTGGAAGGCAGGCTGATCGTGCCAGAAAAGAGAACGACGGGATCCGTAAGCTGGAAAGGTGTGCAATTTGTTGACAATATGTTCGCCATGCCAAGGGTTCATATGATTGCAGTATACGGAGACTACCTCAAAGCAGGAAGAGGATACATAACTTTCCCTACCCTCCTCATCCTAATCGTTTTCATGCAAGGATGTACGATCATGAACAGCTATACTCTGATTTGGTGGGAGGCAAAGTGAGTGGACGTTCCAGACCCATTTTCGTTGGTGCTCATATATATCCCTTAGTCGCTGGGATAGTCCAAATTCGGTCTACCAGATCATGTATGCTTGCTTGGGCATTGGACAGGCCTTTTTTACATTCGCCGTGTAATCTATCATTCCTGCGTATCCGGCAATGTAGATGCTGATGGTTCCTTCAGAGGTGCGACGATGGACGTCATGGGCTTCTTCGTCTCGCACAATCTACATCACCAGTCGATACGGAACATTTTCTATGCCCCAATGTCTTATTTCGATACGACAGTTAGTCCATTTCAGTATCTCTGCTCAACCCCATGCTAACGTAGATTGATATAGCCAACAGGGCGCATTCTCAGTATCTTCGGAAAGGATATTGAAAGTAAGCGATGGGTTTTGATCTGCGCAATTATTGGGTGTCTAATATTCCACCCAAGATATCGATAATCAGTTACCTGGTACGTCTCCAGTTTCATGGTGTAACCTTTTGTCTTATTACCGCCATAGTTTCCATGCGACTTTGTAAGTGGCCAGTGACATTGCAATCGACGTTACTCATGTATCACAGTCATTCTTACGATCGCCAATGTGATTGGGAGCGTGACAATTATCACTGTGCTAGAGCATTACTTTAGTGAGTATATATCAAGCAGCCGCACAGGTGCTAGCTAACAACATATAGTCATCGCTGTCGTTGCAATCGCTTGCGGGTATAATTACTTTGCTCTATTCTATCGTGCAAGTGCCAGAGAGCTGAAACGTATCGGTCAGTCGAGCGTACATTTCAGTTGGTTTGACTGGCTGACACCCTCTGCAGATTCGATGCTACGATCAATCTTATACGCGCATTTCGCAGAATCGCTGTCGGGCTTGCCGACAATACGTAGTTATGGAGAGATCCATCGTTTCCTCAAGGACAATGAATACTACGTTGACCTGGAAGATCGCGCTGCATTTTTGACGGTTACAAATCAGAGGTGCACATCATTCCGAATATGGGTTCTCCTTCACTAATGTGCTCGAGTAGATGGCTGGCTATTCGCCTGGATTTCATGGGCGGTCTACTGATATTCATAGTAAGCTATTATATATTTCAAGCTATTTGATATCCTCATGTGATACTTCTAGGTTGCAATGCTATCCGTGTCTGATGTTTCTGGTATCAATCCGGCCCAGATCGGTCTGGTCCTCACTTATTCCAGTACGTCGCATGATTCTTCACTCACCATAGACTGCTGACTAGGTTCCAGCCGCACTCGTACAACTGTGTGGTATGGTTACGAGACAGGTAAGCCTCAGTCACTCCGCATGCCAAGCGTTTCTTTCCCTAACGCATTCTGCGTGTGCGTAGTCAGCTGAAGTTGAGGTGAGGGATTCTCCAATTTGCTTGTGTTGCGAGCACTCAAGGTTGGTAGAACTATATGAGCTCCGTAGAGCGCGGTATGTATTTCATTATTTTTACACCGGACGTGTGTGCTCATCAATGACCAGTCCTCGAATACAGCCGAGGCGACAGGATAGATCAGGAAGCACCGCACGAGATCAAGGATCACAAACCTGTTGCCGAATGGCCCGACCGCGGCGCCATAGAGTTCAACAATGTCGTCATGAGGTACAGGCCAGGGCTGCCTTTCGTCCTTAAGGGCCTGTCTTTGAGCATCAAAGGCGGCGAGAAAATTGGTGTCGTTGGAAGGTATGCACCAAGTTTTCGATTCGCTCTCGAGATTTCAATGTGCCCACGTGCCACAGGACTGGTGCAGGGAAATCCACCTTGATGCTGGCTCTGTTCCGCATCGTGGAACTAACATCCGGGTCGATTACCGTCGATGGGTATGTCCTAGTCATTACTGAAGCTTCTGTCCGCTGAGGGTGGCAACAGCATCGATATTTCAAAGATCGGCTTGAAGGACCTAAGGTCTAAGATCTCTATCATACCTCAAGATGTACGTGGATAATGTTGTTATGTACAAAAGCTAACCTCATTCGCCTTAGCCGCTTCTGTTCAGTGGTAAGCCGGATTATCCAGCAGCTGTCATTTTTGCCTACCTTCTCTTTAGGGACCATCCGGTCAAATTTGGACCCTTTTGACCAATATGTGAGTGGTCTTGTTGTAATCATAGTGTCTATGCTCACATTTGTTGTCAGAACGACGCGCGCCTCTGGGACGCCCTGCGCCGCTCCTTCCTTGTAGAGTCAGCGAAAGGCGGCCTCGGCAACGACGGTATAGAGACGCCCTCCGCTGGTGGCCGTTTCAACCTCGAGACCGTCATCGAGCCTGAGGGCGCTAACCTGAGTGTCGGGGAGCGCAGCCTCCTCAGCCTGGCGCGTGCGCTAGTGAAGGACAGCCAAGTCGTTGGTGAGTGCCATAAAGGAGTAGCTATGCTGTTTCACTCACCACAGGGTGTTCACGCAGTTCTTGACGAGGCGACGTACGTCCATGAGACATCACTCTAATCTTGTTGCTCAATAACTCCCATAGCGCCTCCGTCGACCTAGAGACAGATGCAAAGATTCAGCAGACAATTCAGACCCAGTTCAGTCATAAGACGCTACTCTGCATCGCCCGTGCGTAGCAACCTAATTACTCTGTATCTGGGACGGGCTGTGCTCATACAAGGATCTCCAGACCGTCTGCGCACCATCATCTCGTACGACCGTATCCTGGTTCTCGACTCCGGGAACATCGCTGTGAGTTTCATAAGTCGCGGCTGGCGGGAGGTCGCTCATCGTTTCTGTCCCTCAGGAATTCGACACGCCGCTGAACCTTTTCCACACCCCAGGCAGCATTTTCCGCGGAATGTGCGAGAGAAGCGGTATCACGGCGGGGGAGATCGAAAAGGCACTCCTCAGGTCGCAGGTCTTGTAGACACGACCCTCACTTCTTCACGTCGCATAGATACGGTAACCCGACTGCCTATAGAGGTTCCCATTTAGAACGGAGAGCCGGGGTGTTCCGCAAACGTAACTAGAAATTCGAAAGTAAATTTTGACGTTCGGCCAAATGACACGGGAAAGGTGCGCACGAGAGCCAAGTCGAGCTTTATATCAACATTCTCTACTAGTACACCTCTCTGCTCTATCGACAATAGACATCTACGGGCGGGCGTGACTCGACGGTGCAAGTCTGGGGGGCGAATACGTTTTTGGACAGACTCTCCGCTTGCCCGCCCGTGTATGGTGGCGATAGTATCACGGGGAACGCGCAGACTGGAACAAGGTGGTGTGGGCGGAGGGATCGCCGCACCGAATCTAAAAGACAGACTTGGCGGTGTGCGGGAGGAGCCGTATCTAGATGCCACTCAGACGCAAGGTTGAGATGAACGATCGGGCAGATCGGCAGATTGTAGATGCTCAACGTCAACAGCAGAATGGAGGCAGGCACAAGATACACAAGAGGCTGCGATGATTGGACATGGTCGATATGCTTACCTTCGCAAGTAGACTATGCATGGCCATGCCATACCGTGTCCCGATTCCACGGATGGTAACGGGAGCCAACCAGAAAGACATGCCAAAAACGAGCACTCGAAGTATGTGTGAGGCGAGGTTCTGTCATTTTGCCAAAGTACTTATACAACAATGTCGATACACGACTCTGGGTAGTACACGTTATGCGAAATGCGAGATAAATCGCAAATGAACAGGGAAGTCACGCAGCTCAGGCGCTCGCAGTCTCTGCTGTCTGTTCTGTGAACTCCCTGATTAATTGAGCCGCGCGTCCCGACCTCGGTCGGATAGTGCATTGGAAAGGCTTGACATGACTACATATTGTCAGCATTAAAATGACCAAAAGTCACAAGAAATCTAGCCGACCTGACGATTCCGTCGTTGAATGATGGCGTTGGGATAATCTCACGACCAGCGGCATCATGCGCTCTCCCTATGTCCATACTCGCCAGGACACTCGCCATTACGAGCCAGACGCTCGAATCGGCGAGGTAACGTCCAGGGCAGATACTACATAATAGGTCAATATGACATGTAGTGCACGCTTGAAACTACCATACCGTCGGCCGAATCCGAATATGTACTTTCGAGGATCACGGGTGTTCATCGCTTCGGCATCTAGCCCTTCGAAACGCTCTGGTCTAAATGTCTCTGCGTCGGGATATAGGGCGGAGTCCCGGCTCATAGCCCTTGCATTCCTGTGATTAGCTGTGCAGTAGGTAGCTGTGTACGAAGTGCACACCAGACGTTGGGAACAATCATGGATCCACCCGGGATGTCATACCCACGGTAATTATCATCGACGCGTAGACTGTGAGGCACGCCTTCATATGTGTGCACGGGTGAGAAATGCGACCATATGCGTATCAAGATTTACGTACCAAGAGGGGCAGGAGGATTCCAGCTGAGAATGACAGAGCGTCAACTACAGAATGACAACAATAATCAGGCTCCGCACCGGTATAACTCCTTAATGATGCATTCAAGGTAGGGAAGGGAGTCCTTGTCATCTAGCTCTGGCAGCCGGGACGTCCCAACTACTTGGTCGATTTCAGCCTGCGCTTTGCGTGCAACTTCAGGGTGCAGGGTCATCGCCAGGACGAAGCTTGACAGCGTGGTCATCGTCTGCACAGTAGCCTATTCAGTACAATTTACAACACCAATGAACGGACACACCGTGTCTGATCCGGCTGTGGTTTTTCGTAAGCTTTGACGCGCTGATCGAGATGCGAGATTCAACGTGCGCAGCTGCATACATCAAAGTCGCTGAGCCCTTGATGTCATTTTCATCATCCGCCCCGAGCTTGCCGTCTTGTGACACCTCACCGATCATAAACGTCGTAAACGAGCGGTTCACGGCGTCCGAATCCTACGTACAATCGTTCTGCAAAGTAAATACCCATTATCACTGGCAGGCCGCCCACATACCATTTCGTGGCGTAGCTTGCGGTACGGGATATCTTCCATTTCATCCCACATTTCTTTGGCCATCAGTGCTTGCTTCTTGAAACCGCCACCTGGCACCCATGCGGGGAAGTATCTCACTAGATACCCGACATATGACGACAATGAGCACTCGTCACCGACTAATGCTCGAGATTCAACAACATACAGATTGGGAAGAAGTCGACCAAGGTTGCAGCGATACTCCCCAGGTTCGTGATAGTGGATATCGTCTTGTCGGCGAACACCATAAACTCATCTTCCACAGAGGTGACGCGGTGCCCATATGCGATATCCAACATCACAGCACCATTATACCTGTGAGACCTCTGATCAGTAACCGTCAATCATATGAGGTGAACTGTGTACCGCTTGATGTGTGGTATAAAGTCCTTGGGAGCCTCGACGAGCGACGACAGGAGTCGCCCAATCTCCCTTCTCTGCACCGGGCGATAGCCGTCCAGTACCGACTTGTTCTCGAGTGATCCTTGATACCATCGTCGCAGACGCCTCCACCTGTCATCATGTTGCATAAGGATCATGAGGGGCCTCGTCATAACACTGTTGTATGCACTTAGTGGGAATATCGAATGAGCAACTACGGTACACTCACAACTGGCAGAGCAAGAGAAAATAGGGTCTGTCAGAATACTTGACTGCCCGCTTCTCCATGAGATCCTGCGCGGCTTGAACGGAGCTCACGATCAGGAACGGCTTGCTGAGCAGCTGGATGTATATGATATCCCCTAGCATGAAAGCGAGTGTCCTAAATTGAGTGTGCATGGTGTATGAAAGTTGGACCGCGTACCATATTTCCTGACCCATTCAGCAAACGTTTTCTGCTGATCACGCAACGGGACTTGGTGCAGGTTTCCCAGCAGCGGTATGCGGGTGGGTCCTGGAGGGAGATGATACCTCTGGGCAGCACGAATGAATCGAGTAGTGAGCAAGGTGAGGAATAGAGCCCCTGTCACGACCAGGAGGTCCGTCCTGTTGAGTGCAAGCGACATTGTAAGTTGGACCAGAGTGCACAATCAAGGTAGAAACACTTGTAAATTCCCATGTGCTTATATATGTTTGCAGGCTCTTTATTGCCGCTGATTCCGCAGAAGTCACATTGGCCTGCAATGACAGATACCGGAAAATCGAGAGAAACGAGTGTTCGGCAACATGGGCCAGGACAAATTCGGTAACCGCCGGGGCCCTTGACGAGACGTATGCTCGATATCTGATATTCCAGGCTTGTGCCCCTCCTGGTCACACGCAATGCCTCGCAGTGGGTCATCACTGCACATAGGTATTTGTGACCGCTGTGAGCCCCAGCAGGCTGCTAGGACCGGATACCCTGCGGCTATGTACGGATACGCCGATCACAGCTGATAAACTACATACATTTTACACGTTGTTTGCCTTCCGCAGGATGCTATTGATTGCTATCAGTGCATTGTGGGAAGGTCGCATGCGCCTGTTCGCTGATGTGAGATCAACATAAAAGGGCGTCAAATTCAAGACGCCGTCGGAATAACATCAGAGAAGCAGCGACAGCGAGAAACAGCCAGTGTTCACGGCATAGTTTCATATCGATGGCATGCGCACGTCAGTGGTGGATCCCGAATTGCTCTATCGTCCGGGCATGCATGCCCATCGGAAGGTGATTTATATCGGTGGTAGCCGAATTCGGGCGGAGAAACACCCTTGAGGTTTGCCACGGCGTAAGCTTGAATGTCATGTCTACCATGGGCATGCGTCAGCAGTCAGCAAAACCGAGGACTTGACTGTACTGCGCGTTGTCAAATAGTGGCGAGAACGGCGCAGATGGTCCGCAATACATTGCGATAGCTGAGAGCGGCGTAGCGGTGAGCCGGTGTTATAGTTGGTCAAGTTTGCAAGACATGGGACCTTGAAACCTGTGTCGGCTCTCTGCCACAGGAATGACTGTTTTAGGTGGTTGGTAGCGTCACTAATCTCGAGTTAAAGTGGAATCCAACATCACGTAGTAAGTAGGTTTGGGGACTGGTCGGGAAACGCCGGGAATAATATCACATGCGAATGACGCGTGCTTGAATTACATGTCACCTGGTCGCTGAGGTGGCATCAGTGATTCACTCGCTTGCGGCTAACTTAGACGTGTACCTCCTCGGGTTCTGCGTGTACCTCCCCGGGTTCTGATGTGGACACGGGGCAAATACGTACTCTGTTTTTTCTTACAATTCCTCGGGTTTAGACTCCATACAACGTAGGTGGCAGGACAAATACGTACTCAGTACACGAGACCAATTGGCGGGCCACAAAGTCTTCGACCGAGAACATGGTCATCGTACGCAAATTGTACGGGTCGCTGCTAAATCACGATCTGCATGCAGCAGTCGAGGCCTGCGGGATACAAGATACAAATAAGCCACAACGAACGACGCATGCGCCGTTGCTGCTACTACTGATACATTCCACTATCAGTACAGGTAAATTCATGACTTGTACAATCCGGTACTATCATGCGCCGTCTTGTTATACCTTGAGCTCCTCCGGCCGCTGCAGGATAGCTTCGATCTCAGGCTTCACACTCGCGAGCATGTGTCTCGTCGTCTTCACCGGCTTCCATCCGATTGCGCGCGAATGCTCCGCGCGACAGCGCACATTCGTGCTCAGATAGTCCGACTATTGTCACCGCAAGGCACATCAGCGCCGTCTGCCCCACGGAGCAGGAGAAGGGCATAGCACTCACCCCGCCAAAGTACTTATCCAGCTCCTCCGGCGAGAACGTCGTCACCTTGTCTGTGCTCGCCTTGCCGAGCGCAACCAGCGCCTCGCCGATCGCGCGGCTCACATCGTACAGCATGTGCTCGCCATTCTCGCCGATATAGTACCCGTCCGTGCCATGCCCAATCGGCCGCCCAGCGCGCACCGCGCTGAACACAAGCCCAAAAAGGTCCGCCACTGTGTACACGTCAGCAGCGTTTCAAGCAGGAAATCAACAGCTAGGAGGGGTGGTCATGCAGGAAGGTATATGCAATAAGCACACAAGTGCGAACAAAACAGGGAAGCTGCAGAGGGCGCGCACGTACCTTCGTCGATGTTGACGTTCGGCCACAAGTTCTTGCCCTCGCCGACCATGCCTGCCTGGGCACGCGCAAGGCTCGCTTTGATGAGCATCGGGATCTGCTGCGAATGCGGATTCGCGATGTGCGCGTCAATGAGTGGGCCGGACGCGAGGCCCCAGATCGTCGACGGGAGCACGATGTAGGCTTTGATTGTGCCTGTATGCGTGGTCAACGGAATGGAAACCGACAGGAGAGGCGGAAGGAGCAAGGCAGAGAAAGGAGGACGCACCCTTGCTGTCGGCGTCGAGGACCGCAAGGTCGATGCTGCGGTGCAGTTGGTTGGGCGAGAGCGAGGCCATCTGCTCGACGTTGGCGTCGGAGTATATGATCGAGGTGGGGTACATCCCTGCAGCATTGTCGCTGAGCACACCTACAGATATCCAGTTCAGTGCGGGCGCCTGCGGCGCATCTTGTAGACGCCTGACAGTAGAATGGAGACAGGCACAAGACCTAATGCAAGCTGCGCTTATCAAATGTGGTTGATTTACTTATTGTTGCAAGTGGAACATGCATGGCCATGCCATACCGCGTTCCGATCTCGCGAATCATGGCAGAAGCCAACAAAAGAATACGTTGAAAATAAGCACCCGAAGCATGAGTGAGGCGAGTTCACCATTCTGTCATTTTACCAAACTGAATCCACAACAATATTGATGCATGCCTCTGGCTAGCACATGTTATGCGAGACGCTAGATGAAAAGGCAGATAAAAGGAGATGTCGCACAGCTCAGGCACTTGTATTTACTGTAGACTCCCTGATCAACTGAGCAGCGCGTTCCGACCTCGGTCGGATAGTGCATTGGAAAGGCTCAACATGACTGCAAATTTCCAGCATTCAACAAACCGAAGGTTACAGGAAATATAGCTGACCTGATGATTCCGTCCTTGAATGACGGCGTTGGGATGATCTCATGGCCAGCAGCATCATGCGCTCTCCCTATGTCCATACTCGCCAGGACACTCGCTAGGAAAAGCCAGACGTTCGAATCGGCGAGGTAGCGTCCAGGGCAGATACTATATGATAGGTTAGTGTAGCATGCTGTGCACGCTTGCAACTACCGTACCGTCGACCAAATCCGAAAATATACTTTCGAGGATCCCGGAATTTCATCGCTTGCGCATCTAGCCCTTCAAAACGCTCTGGCCGAAATGTCTTTGTGTCGGGATATAGGGAGGGATCCCGGCTCATAGCCCTTGTATTCATATGATTAGCTATGCAATAGGTAGCTGTGGTACGAAGTGCACACCAGATGTTGGGAACAATCATGGATCCACCCGGGATGTCGTATCCACGATAATTATCATCGACGCATAGACCGTGAGGTACACCTTCATATGTGTGCACAAGTGAGAAACACGACAACACGCATATCAAGGCTCACGTACCAAGCGGGACAGGAGGATTCCAGCTGCGAGTAGAGTATATTAACCATAGAACAGCAACAAGAGTCAAGCTTAGTACCGATATAACTCCTTGATAATGCATTCAAGGTAGGGGAGGGAGTCCTTGTCATCTAGCCCAGGCAGCCGTGATAATCCGACTACATGGTCGATTTCAGCCTGCGCTTTACGCGCAACTTCAGGGTACAGTGTCATTGCCAGAACAAAGGTTGTCATCGTGGTCATTGTCTGCACAGCAATTCTCTTAGTACAAGCCACGACATAGATGAACGGACACACTGTGTCTGATCCGGCTGTGGCTCATCGTAAGCTTGGAGCACTAATCGAGGTGCTATATTCAACGTGCGCACCTACATACATCAAAGTCGCCGAGCCCTTGATGTCAATTTCATCATCCGCTCCGAGCTTGCCGTCATGCGACACCTCCCCGATCATGAATGTTGTAAATGATCTGTTCACGGCGTCCGACCCCTATGTGCAAACATTGTGCAAACCTAATGACCTTTATCAGGCTGCGCACGTACCATTTCATGGCGTAGTTTGCGGTACGGAATATCTTCCATTTCATCCCACATTTCTTTGGCCATCAGTGCTTGCTTCTTGAAGCCACTACCTGGCATCCACGCGGGGAAATACCTTACTAAAACACCCGACATGCGACGATGATGACTCATGAACACTCGTCGCTGACTAGAATATTCAGCAACCTACAGATGGGGAAGAAGTCGACCAAGGTCGCAGCGAAACTTCCCAGGCTTGTGACAGTGGATATTGTCTTATCGGCGAATACCATAAATTCATCTTCCGCAGAGGTGACACGGTGCCCATATGCGATATCCAACATCACAGCACCGTTATACCTGTGAGATCTCTGATTAGTCACTCTCAATCATATGAGTTCAATCACGTACCGTTTGATGTGTGTCATAAAGTCTTGGGGAGCCTCGGCAAGTGACGACAGGAGTCGCCCAATCTCCCTTCTCAGCACCGGACGATAGCCTTCCAGCACCGACTTGTTCTCGAGTGATCCTTGATACCATCGTCGCAGACGCCTCCACCTGTCACCATGTTGCATGAAGATCATGAGGGGCCTTGTCATAACACTGTTGTATGCACTCAATGGGGATTTCGAATAGTCCACTACGAATATGATACACTCACAACTCGCAGAGCAGGAGAAAATAGGGTCTGTCGGAATACTTGACTGCCCGCTTCTCCATGAGATCCTGCGCAGCTCGGACGGAGCTCACGATAACGAATGGCTTGCTGAGTAGCTGGATGTATATGATATCCCCTGACATAACAACGAGTGTCTCAAATCGAGCGGGCATAACGTATAAAAGTGAAGGCGCGTACCATACTTCTTGACCCATTCAGCAAACGTTTTCTGCTGGTCATGCAACGGGACTTGGTGCAGGTTTCCCAACAGCGGTATGCGAGTGGGTCCCGGAGGGAGCCGATATCTCTGGGCTGCATTAATGACACGAGCAGTGAGCAAGGTGAGGAATAGAGCCCCAGCCACGACCAGGAGGTCTGTCCTGTTGAGCACAAGCGACATTGTAAGTTGGGTCGGGGTAGACAATGAAAATGAAAATCCATATAAGTTCCCGCATGCTTATATATGTTCGCAGGCTCTTTATTCCCGCCGATTCCGCAGAAGTCACGTTGGATTACAATGATAGATACAAGAACTTCGAGAGAAGCGAATGTCGGACAACATGGTCCAGGACGAATTCGATAACCACCGTGCCGGTGTCCCTGGCGAAACATATACTCGACGGCACATACTCAATGCCTCGTGCCTCTCCTCATCGTACGAGATGTCTTGCATTGGTCCATCACTAGAAATTCATATTAGTAACCGCTGTGAGTCCCGAACTGCTAAGACCCGGATACCCTGCGGCTACGTACCACACGGGATACGCCGATTGAAGCTGATATACTACGTACATTTTGCACGTTGTTCGACTTCCACAGGATGCGATTCATTGCTATCAACGCATCGCGGGAAGGTCGTCGCGTCCGCCTGTTCACTTCTGTGAGGTCAACACAAAAGGGATAATATCAAAGAAGCAGCAACAGCGAGAAACGGCCAGTGCTCACGGCATAACTTCACATCCGTGGCATGCGCACGTCAGTGTGGAAGCCCGAACGGCTCTATCGTCTGGGCATCCATGCCCATCGGAAGGTGATTTAGATCGGTGGTGGCCGAATTCGGGTCGGAGATGCTCTCTGGAGGTTTGCCACGGCGTAAGCTTGAATGTCATTTTTTCCGTGAGCATGCGTCAGCAGTCAGCAACACCGAGGACTTGACTGTACTGCGCGTTGTCAAATAGTGGCGAGAACGGCGCAGGTGCTCTGCGATGCGATAGCTGAGAGCGGCGTAGCGGTGAGCTGGCGTTATTGCTGGTCAGGTCTGCAACGTCGACTGTCTACTACATGACTGATTACTTTGCGGGGGTTGGTAGCGTCACTGCCTTGAGTACGTGGAATGCAACTTCAGGTAGCAAGTAGGTTTGAGGACTGATCGGGAAACACCGATAATATCACATGCGAATGACGCGCCTGGCCGCCGAGGTGGCACTAGACGCGTGCGGCTAGACATGTACATCCCCGAGTTCTGATGTGGACACGGAGCAACAACGTACTCTGTCTTTCAATCCCTCAGGTTCAGACTCCACAGGTGCGTACTCAGTAAACAAGAGCCAAAGTGTAACGTCTCACCCTCACTCGGGCCCCAGATACTCTGCGCTGACTCTATGTTTCAGCAGTGCGGTATCTGAGAAGCGGGTAAGGAAGACTGAACGGTCTTCCCTTCCTGCGCGCTGTCCCTTTACAGGGCCCGCACGCTTCCCAAAAATGCGCATACAGTATCTATTAATATACAAATCTTTAGTAATCAACGAGAGCTTTAAGATGTCCATGGCGCACGCACCCTACGGTGCGCGTTGGCTGTTTGTTATATACCATAGTAAGGCACCGGAGACGGTGCCTTACACAAAACCATGGTTGAAAATTGAAACCAACCTTGGCGGGTCAAAGTAAGTCTTCGACCGTGAACATGATCATCGTACGGAAATTGTACGGGCCACCGTTAAATGACGACTTTCAACTAATTGAATAACTCGCCGCAGTTCACGGCTTCGCGATGCAAGGTACAAACAAGCCACAACGAACGAAATGCCACGTAAGACCGAACGACGCATGCACCGTTACTGCTTCTACTGATACGTTCCACTATCAATACAGGTAGATACACGCATGGGTACAGTCTGGTACTATCATGTGCCGTCTTGTTATACCTTGAGCTCCTCCGGCCGCTGCAGGATAGCTTCGATCTCAGGCTTCACACTCGCGAGCATGTGTCGCGTCGTCTTCACCGGCTTCCATCCGATTGCGCGCGAATGCTCCGCGCGACAGCGCACATTCGTGCCCAGATAGTCCGACTATTGTCACCGCAAGGCACATCAGCGCCGTCTGCCCCACGGAGCAGGAGAAGGACATGGCACTCACCCCGCCAAAGTACTTATCCAGCTCCTCCGGCGAGAACGTCGTCACCTTGTCTGTGCTCGCCTTGCCGAGCGCAACCAGCGCCTCGCCGATCGCGCGGCTCACATCGTACAGCATGTGCTCGCCATTCTCGCCGATATAGTACCCGTCCGTGCCATGCCCAATCGGCCGCCCAGCGCGCACCGCGCTGAACACAAGCCCAAAGAGGTCCGCCACTGTGCACACGTTAGCAGTGTTTCGAATAGGAAGTGGAAGGTATATGCGATGGATACACAGGTGCAAAAAGGCAGGTAGGAAAAACCCGAGAGGAGGCTGCAGAGGACGCGCACATACCTTCGTCGATGTTGACGTTCGGCCACAAGTTCTTGCCCTCGCCGACCATGCCCGCCTGGGCACGCGCAAGGCTCGCTTTGATGAGCATCGGGATCTGCTGCGAATGCGGATTCGCGATGTGCGCGTCAATGAGTGGGCCGGACGCGAGGCCCCAGATCGTCGACGGGAGCACGATGTAGGCTTTGATCATGCCTGTATGCGTGGTCAACGGAATGGAAACCGACAGGAGAGGCGGAAGGAGCAAGGCAGAGAAAGGAGGACGCACCCTTGCTGTCGGCGTCGAGGACCGCAAGGTCGATGCTGCGGTGCAGTTGGTTGGGCGACAGTGAGGCCATCTGCTCGACGTTGGCGTCGGAGTAGATGGTCGAGGTGGGGCGCATCCCCGCAGCATTGTCGCTGAACACGCCTACAGGCAAATGCCCAGTTCAGTACGGGCGTCTGCGGCGCATCGATGGCCTGGTGTGTAACATACCCGTGCCAGACTGTATGCGCGCGAACATGTGAAGAAGGGTCCGAGTGACATCGCAGACGAGGTGCTTACTGTGTGGATGAGGACGGGGACATCCCGCGTGAGCTCTTTCCTCCTCGCCATCCCACGCAAGATAGCCTGAGCAGCGGGGAGGTCATCTGCATCCGCCTGCCGTCTGTGTCAGGCAAGCAAGTCCACACCCAGCAAGAGAAACGAGGCGCACGCAAGCAACAACAATGTCCGCCTTGCTCGCGAGATCCTCGAGCCTGCCTGTGTCCTGGAGGGAGCCGAGCACGGGTGTGATGCCGAGCTTCTCGAGCTTCTTGGCCTTCTCTGGGGAGCGGACGAGGGCGGTGATGTCGAGCCTGGGGCGGTCGGGATGCTGGAGGATGCGCGTGAGGACTGCACCGCCGATGTAGCCTAAGGTAATTCAATGAGCCATTGTGTGAGTCGGACAGCGCGAGGTAAATGCGTGTGCTGCAACTCCATACCGGTAGCCCCGACGAAAAAGACGGATGTTTGGAACGAGTTGGACATGGTGGGAGAATGTGAGGTCTGCGATGGTAGTGGGGGATAAGTGCAACGTTGGGACTCATTTCTCTTGTCTCTCTGTGCGTGGTTTCCGGAGGATATGCCGAAGATGCCAGGTTGCACTGGGTGATGTCAGCGCGAGCTCATACGTGGAGTGACGGCGCCATCCTGGATCTCCGAAGGGCACTCCCGCCGCATACTTGGTTTCAGAGCCGGGAGAGCCTCTGTCCTGCACGGTAGCGATGTGGGATTTCTAGTGTAAAGGGCCAGGAAAGAGGAGAGGAGACGCGCGACGTGTGACGTCATAGCAAATCACTTCGACCGTAAATCGAATAAGGTAAAGCACATGCCATAAACGGCAGGTGGGAAAGGAAGCCTCGACGCCGCCGGCGTTCACTAAACTGTGCCCTGTAGCGCTTAGGGTTATTCGAACGGCAGGAGCTTGGTAAACAGCGGTCGTGCTCAGAATGCCTCCTGTCGGCGCGACTTCGATCCTCGCCCGGAATACGTCATGATGCCAAGGTTTGGCATGTACTGCAGGTCCTAGTCCCAGCCGATTCGTGAGGTGCGCATCGAAGTCGACGAGAGGGCAGGATCAAGATAGCCCAAAGAGGCAATGGCAGCACCTGCTGGGGCATCCCCATCTTCCCTTTCGTCACATGTCAAACTAGCATCGTCAGACCCGTCCTCATGAGACCCTTGTCTAGGTATCGACCCTTCTCCATCTGCATGTAAGCATTAGCCCGTGGCCACGCCGCGGGAAATCACTTCTCTTCGTTCTTCCTTCGCTCAGTCTCGACCCCAGGGCCCCTTGCGTGGTGGCTAAGACTTCCCGATTGTCTCTATGCCCATCAACTGTCACATAACCTACGACCACCAAGTCATGTCTCATAGTTCGCCGTCATCTATACTGGCCAAAGACCGCTCGTAGTATTGTCCGCAGCCAAATCCGCTCACGGCGAGAATATCCCAACAGCCGCGGAAATCGCGGCATCGGCGAGTTGGACGTAAAGTCCGTCCGTCACCAGGTGAAACACACATAACGTGCCTTGTTAGTTGGTGACAGTAGAGAGGATGGCAGGCACGGTAAAATGACCTCATGGGGCAATGCTGCAAATCTGTACACAATGCACCCTCCACTGGCGGTACCGACTCGAACGATTTGTCGCGGTGCACACGAGATGCAAAGCAGCGCAGGTCAATATAGACATGCCACAAACCCACGCCCGCACGGCGTGTAGAACAAAGAACCCACTGTGGCGGTGACGCAACGCCCGATGTGCGGAGCCTTTGCCCACTTCGAATCCCATACAGCACAGCACGTACTATACGCGGCATATTTCAATTGGCGCTGTGCAGGCGTCTCCCGGGCTTGTGTGCTTGTGTGCGCGCCTGGCAGATCGACCCCCGAAAGGCAGCCCTCATGCCTCGGGCGGCCGTTCTCGAGCGCTCCGTCTCGAAACGTCCCCGCCGGGGAGTTGGGATCGCGGAGGGAGATCCATCTCGATAAAGGCACAAGGGTCAGTGTTGCCCGGATCGCGGCTCGTATCATGGTGCCCAACGGGCGCAAGTTAGACGTTGGTCCAGGAACGACCGCACCTACGTGTGATGGCCCCGCGGATCCATGAGCATTTAATGGCTCACTATGGCGCAAATACTTGTCGAGACTTGTGTGGGCGTCCACTGCGTGATCGCTGAGCGTCCCTCATCGGTGAACTTCCGCGAGATCGGGAGAATGGCGCACCCAAATAGGTTAAGGCTGAACCGGACCTGAGGACGACATGCGCATTGCGTGTGGGGCCAGGCCTCGCGTTTCGTAACGGGTGGTCGGTCGCCTTGAAGACGTCCACAAGCATAGATTTCCGTGACCGCTCGACGTATGCTACGGGCCTGGGCCTGTGAGCCTCGAGTGCTAATCTTAGATTTGGGGGCGTTGGAAAGTCTGCGCGTCTACACGGTCGTTTGCTGCATCTAGGGTTTCACCGGGGATACGGGACGTCTTGGGAGGATCGTGCTCGCGCCTGGCATCGAACAATGAAGATGCCTGGAGACGGTGACAGCGGCAGCTGTGGACATTGACAGAGGGCCCTGGCGTATAAACAATAATAGAATGAGTCGCAGTGCAACGCAAGACGATGTCGTCGGCAGGAAGACAAGAAGGCGTGGGCAGACGGGGATGAGCTTGGAAGACAGTCGATTTGCTGGGAAGAACGGATAGGAAGAGCATGTGGCCAGGATTCACGACGTAGGGGTGACTGTGGGTCTGGGAAGAGCGTACAAGCTGCAGCTACAGATGATCGATCGGGCGGCCATTTACCCTGTTCCGCACAGCTATCACGGGCGCCTGCCGTATGCGATGCCTCCGTGCAAGCCGCGGATACAATGTTACCAAACGCGTGTGTTACTGAGCCAGCAGATCACCGCCAATCCGGACCCGCGGCGTCTCTCGGCAGCCTCGATGTTCGCGGGCAGCCATGTGCAGCCACCGCCTTCGCCACCGCTCGACGCCATCACCCCCACCGTCCCGCCACAGCATCCCATGCGCCACGCCGTCGTCGGGACGAGCTTCCTCCCGCGCGATCCCTGTCAGTTTAAAGGCTTCCTCTGACCACCGCCGGCGGTCGACTGCCACTTCCAGCGCCGTCGCGCCCGGTCTGCGCATACCACACCGTAGAGTTTGACCGGCCCCCTTCCGGCAACTCTCCCTCCAGCACTGCGCCCGAGCCAGTGTGCCACGGGGACCTGCCATTGTGGTGAGAGCCCACCCCGAGCGCCCGGCGCCGTCTTAAGCCATATATACTAATACACCGGCGCTCTCGCTCCCTGTCTTGCCTCCCGGACGTCCTACCGCCATGGAGCAGCCCTGGCCTCTACACCAGCAGCACCCGCACATCCACCCGCACCCACACCAGCTGCAGCTCGAGCACGAGTACGACATGGATCCCACCCAGTTCCAGATGCTCCAGCCCGAGGGCGATCAGCGCTATGCTGCGCGCCAAGCCCACTCCCCGGATCCCGCAGCTGCGGGGTACGCGCCCTTCCCCGCGCAGAGCTACGCCCCCGCCCCCTCCCCTGTCCCCGCCGGCTATGTAAGCCCGCAGATGGGCTCCCAGTACGCCAACGGGCCGCTGTACCTCGGCGGCGATGCGGGGGCGCTGCACCGCACGCAGAGCCAGACGTACGGCAGCGTGCCCGCCGCGCTCCAGCCATCCCCGCCCGCGATGCAGCAGGCATTCTACCACACCCACGGCGACGCCCAGGGCTTCGCATACGGGCCGCAGCAGGGCGCGGGCGCCGTCAGCCAGGGCCCCAGCCCGAGCGTCTCCCCGACGTTCCCGAGCTTCCAGCTGCGCGAGGGCCAGCAGACGTACGGGCCGGCCCTGTCCGCGGGCCAGGCATACGGCGCCGTGGCGGGGCCGAGTAGCGATATGCAAGCGAACGCCGCGTACGGGCACTTTGCGGACATGGCTCAGCCATATCAGCTGGCGCCTGGGGGGCCCAGCCTGGCGAAGAGGCAACGTGGGCTGGAGGAGAGCATGTGGGAGGACGACGGAGAAGGCAATTGGGACGACGGGCTGCAGAGGGGGGAAGAGCACAAGCCGAAGCCGTGCGTCTTCCATTCGCATCTGACCGCCGTCGGGAAGCTGATCGGACCCCAGCATCGGCGCATGCTCCCGCTGCAAGGGATTGAAGGTGCGTTCGGTTCCTCCCGTCCGAAATGCGCTCCTGATGCGCATACGTTTGCCTTTTGCAGGTCCGCTGCGAGTTCATCGGCGACTCGGACACATGTAAGCGCTGTACGTCTGGCAGGCATGATTGTGTGATTCCAGGGCGCAAGAAGCGCAAACCGCCGCCGTACGTCTTGCGCCTTGCTGTAGACATGCAAAGACCTGACCAGCCCGTGCAGAAAACGCGAGCATCTGCTGAACCAGATCCGCGACCAGGCGGCCCAGATCTCGGAGTTGATGAGCAAGCTCGAGGAGGCGAACCACAAGGCCGGCCGGCGCGCCTCGGGCGCTGCCGCGCCGCTCCTCCCCGCGGCGATCAAGCATGAGCCCGGTAGCGCATCAGATCTCGCGCCCGAGCCGGACATCGGGACGCCCCTGCCACAGTCCACGCGCGCGGCGTCCGCGGAGGTGGAGGACTGGATCACGAAGGCGCGGCAGTCGATCGAGGCGTTCGGCGGGTTCATCAGCATGGGCGGGCCGAGCGTCACGATGGACATGCTCGGCGACGGCGGCAGCGGGGAGAGCGCGCCCGCGAGCGACGACGAGGGCGAGTACGAGCTGTACGTCGAGGACGTGGACGCGGAGGACGGTATCGGTGCTGCCGCGGGCGACGCGGAGAGCCTGTTCGGCGAGGAGCCGCGCGGTGCGTTCTCGCGCGAGTCCACGGAGGTCCCTGCGCCTACGCGCCGGGGGCACGGGAAGCTCGCGTCGGTGCCCAACGAGTCGGTGCCGTTTGGCCTGTTCCGCGAGCTCGCGATCACGAAGCGGCGAAGGCGCCGGCCGAGTCGGAGCGTGAGCGAGGTGGGCGAGGAGGATGCAAGCGATGTGGGCTTGGCGAACGATGATTACTTCAGGCCGAGTGAGTGGACGGCTGGCTATCTTGCTACAGGGCTGCAGGGTATGCTGACGGAGCCGCTGCTGTAGGTCCAGCTCCGGAACGTCCGATCGTCGACGAGCGGCAGCAGCCGGCTATACTGCGAAATGGCATTATTACGCCTGCAGAGGCAGAGAAGCTCTTCGGCATGTGAGCCTTCATGTCGATCTCATGCTGTATGCGCGCTGAGATAGATCTGCAGATACTACGACTACATGAACCTGTCGCTCTCCCTCCTAGATCCCGTACTCTACACTGCCCAGAAGACATACTGGCGGTCTCCGTTCCTCTTCACCGTTAGTGAGTGCTGGCATGGCTTGCATCCAGCGACACATCTGACCAGCACGTACAACGTCTAGTCTGTGCCATCGCATCCCGGTACTACGCCCCGCGGCCCGAGCTTTATGAGCAAGCCATGAAGTACGCACGTCTAGCGGCGGGAACCGCTTTGATCGGGGGTCAGAAAACCATCGAGGTGGTTCAGGCATACATTCTCCTCAGCCTGTACCCGGTACCTGCGCGAAGATGGGAGGACGACCGGAGTTTCATCTATCTCGGGCTGGCTATCCGGTAAGTTGTGGGTGCGCGCCGCGGTGTTCCGTACAGCCTTCATTGACTGATATACGATCGGTTGTGTCCAGGGTCGCTACGGACCTGAAGCTGCACTACGCAATCAACACGAAGCCGGAAAACGAGCACCACGCGCGCGAGATTCTCAATCGGACGCGGGTGTGGCTGAATTGCTTCAATCTGGACCGGTCCACCGGCTCCCAGTACGGACAGCGTCCGATCATCGACAACAACGACTACGTCGCGAACCACACCGAGTTCTGGTGGAACAGCTCGCCGTACAACATGGACGGCTTCGACGTGCACACGTGCTGCTACAACGCAGAGCTGAAGGTCATGGGGGAGTTCCGCATGCGCATATACAGCAACCCGAACCACCCCACGGGGCTGAACAAGGTGCGTTTCGCGTGGATTGAACACTTTGGACGTCGGACATCGGACTGAGCCTATTTGCGTTTGCTTTGTAGGAGGTCGATCTGGCCAAGATCGCGAGCGAGACGGACGACCGCCTGGCGCGGCTGTGGGAGACCTGGATCCCGCGTGTGCGCGAGGCGAACACGGGCGACCAGCAGAGCCACTTCCGCACGGGGCTGCTCAAGCTCGCGTTCAGCTATGCGCGTCTGTCGGTTCTGTCGGTGGGCTTCCAATATTCCTTCGGAAAGGCGGCTGCGACGGACGAGGAGCCGTTCCTCTGGCGGGTAGGTGCCCGTTTGGCCTCTGTGTGGATGAGAGAAGCTGAAATCCACTCTGTAGTGCCTTCGGGCCGCGACAGATACTGTCAAAGCTGTCGTCGAGGATATCGCGATCCCTAGCCAAAGTAAGGTGGAATGGTGGGGAAAACCTATTATCAGCTGACGTCCGAACAGAGATTTACCTCCGGCACGGCCCAGAAGCTCAATGTGTCTTTGTCACGTTTGCCTCAGCCTTCTTGGTCAAGGTGAGTGAATTATGGAGTGCTAGCGTTATGTCGTGCAGACACTAAATCATATGCAACCGACAGCTCCTGCAACCCAAGTACGCGCAGCACCTTTCTCGCGAACGGCGCGTCGAGATCAGAGATCTCGTCCAACGGGTGATCGACCTCTTGAGCTCGCCAGAAGTGGCCATCGATGACCGCCACGGCCCCAAGCTTTACGCCCGCTTTCTGCAAGGACTGCTGGCCACTCCCATGGCAAGGGTAGACCAGTCACCAGCATCCGTCAGGTCGCCTCGGCGCGTGCCCTCAAAACAGTCATCGGCACGGTCCTCGCCATCGCAGGCGCCTGGCACGCTCTCTGCGCGCCAATCGCTGTCTCCTCCGCCGGCGTCGTCGAGCGCCGCCTCCAGTCCGAAACCGGACACGCCTCCGCCACCATCTGCATTACTTCAGCTCCAGCAAGCTCAGATCGCTGCTGGGGCGCCACAGTCCGCAGCGCAGCCGACAGCCACGTCTGACCTGGACATACCAGGCTTCTTCTCTCCGCCTCTCTTCTACGACTCGGAGCTTCTGCAGTCGATGCAGTCGATCACGGACTGGCCAGATATGGTGTTGCCCGGTACGTCCATGACTGGTGCATGCATATGGGCATTTCAAACTCAAAGCAATGTTCGTACAGGCTTCAACTGGATGGGGTCTATGCAGCAAACCGACTTCAACACGAACATTAGATACGACCAGCCCATGGTCGGTTTCACCCATTCGGGTTAGTTAGCGCTGCCCATGCTCTTCTCAAGTCCCCCCTTCTACTGTATCAGCCTGCGATCCAGACTAGTGGCGCATCCTATTTCCCATTGTTTCGTATCGCGTAGCGTGTATCTTTAGACTATTATTTTTACAATGACTTTGGATTATGCAAACGCGGCGAGAGGCGGGGCCGTTCTGTAAGGATCAGCCATGTTGTCGTAAAATTCTACAGTGTATGTATATATATGTATGAGGACGTTCAAGCCACTTCTCTTCCCTGATATGACTGAGGCGCTGGAAACTGATGCCTTCGTGTGACGTTCGTTTCTCCGCTCCAGAGCTTGAGCCTCTCGAGATCAGATTCACAACAACCCCGGTTGACTGGCACTATTATTGTGATCCTATCATTTTGGCCAAATACACACAAAGTTTGCGTCTCGCGCTGCTCTGAGCACCTCAAACTTGGGATACCGTGACGGATGTATCTCCAGCTATTTATTGTATCGACTTGACTCCTGCTGCATTCGACTCTGCTCCGAATTACTGCGCAGGGCCTGGTACCCAGCGCATCGCAACCTGTCCATACGTGGTTATTCTCACCTCTAATACTCCCCGCTGGGCGACTGGATGTGGGATCGTTGTCTGCGAAAGCAAGTATCTATTTGTTCAGGGCGAAGATGCGGAAACCATGCGAGACCATCTCACCGCAATGACACGACAAAGCGGAATGGCAAGTTCAGTATGCAAAGCGGCTCGGTCGCTTGTGGCATGGACACCGTTGCTAACCCTTAAGTCGTCTTGATTCTCGACTTGGGCACTCAGTCTTTCTAAACTTGAGCTTTTTTATTAGTTCAAACGATAACTCAGCTTTCGATATTGATGAATCTTTCAGTCAATGATAGCCATGCCCCAACAAGTCATATGTATCGGGACAGCTTCCCGAGAACGTAGTCGGGAGAGCAATGGATTTTGCAGTTTACACACGTCAAGTCCTCATCAGGCACAGGTCAGAACCTCGTTACTGATGAGTAGAGAACGTGTAGTCGTAACGGTGTCGAACAGCATCTTATCTTCATCAATGCTTGGACAGTACTGACAGCCTGGCAGGCTGTCAGGCAAGTTCTTTATTTTTTGGGTGATTCGTCTCCTGAATTCAAATACCTCGGTCTTCGCTTCCCACGCACGAATAGGGTGTAGGCAATTCAGCCGTGTCCCGGTATGTATCATATGCTTATTCCCATTCAAGAATTGGAATGAATGCCACTACAATGGTTTTCAGGCTGTGTCGAGTTGCTGTAGAAATATGCACATGAGTATGTGTCGCCACCTCAAGAGTACGAACACTGGCAAGCATCAGACAGATGGTAGGTGGTCTACAAGTCCGGCGGGACTGGTTGCTCACAACAATGCATCATGCATTATGACAGATGATCTTTAGACCACGAATCATAGTGCCCGCGGTCAAACCTTAGTGCAGTCAATGCTGTGGTGGCACCGAGGGCTAGATAAACGACTTCGACATTGGCATCAAGTATCCCATCGTTCCTTCCGCCGCTATGTCTGCGAGCAGTGTGCAGCTCAACAGCACAATTGGTAGTAGTTTCATTGGCATCCTGTTTGGTACACTGTAAGTGGACCTGATCTCTTCACGAATCACCGGGCTTATGCGTGTATTTCCAATAAAAACAAATCTGCAGGCTCTACGGGCTCTCCTGCGCTCAGACCATGTATTACTTCTGCAAATATCCAAAGGACAGTGTCAGATTGAAGGCTCTTGTGCGTTATGTTGACGGACAAGCGCGTCCGTACGCCCCGCGTGGATATGCGCGCGCATGACGTCGCATTATCGCGTCGGGATCAGCGTGATGTTGTCGCGCCCCTGGCGCCCCTGTTCCTGTCTGTAAATACCCCGTCCTCTTCATTTAGCCCGCGCACCATAGATACAGGTGACTCACCCTACTACGGCACGCTATATACCTGTCATTTTCATGATGCGAGCTTCAGTCGATATTCTACTCACTGAAGCTCGTAAGTCCTTTTCTACCTCTAAGTACTGTACATATACTGATCTCCTGTAAAGTGACCGAACATCGTTAGGTACAGTAATAGAGTCAATATTCTACTCACTGAAGCTCTGACCGAACATCATTAGATCCGACGTCGCTCGTACCTCGTTAAGACATTATTTGTAGTAGCAGTTACATGTGGCTAATATAGCAGCGGGGTGTAGATCGTGGTACTATGGTATGTCCTTGACCTTTAAGATAAGTCTCAGTCTATTAATCACTGTGTTCTGTATTAAGGCTCTTGGACACGAATAGAACCATCACAGGGCTATGGGTAAATGATGATTATCCATTACGCGGATAATTGTTGCTCATTAGTACAGTGTAACTGGGACTGGACTGTTCCGAAACACGCAAGTCCGCAGGTGTCCTTGAGCATTGACCTGTATGACCGGCGGTTCTGTTCAATGTCTATCAAATGCTAATGTTCTTAACGAGGTACGAGCGACGTCGGATCTAACGATGTTCGGTCAGAGCTTCAGTGAGTAGAATATCGACTCTATTACTGTACCTAACGATGTTCGGTCACTTTACAGGAGATCAGTATATGTACAGTACTTAGAGGTAGAAAAGGACTTACGAGCTTCAGTGAGTAGAATATCGACTGAAGCTCGCATCATGAAAATGACAGGTATATAGCGTGCCGTAGTAGGGTGAGTCACCTGTATCTATGGTGCGCGGGCTAAATGAAGAGGACGGGGTATTTACAGACAGGAACAGGGGCGCCAGGGGCGCGACAACATCACGCTGATCCCGACGCGATAATGCAACGTCATGCGCGCGCATATCCACGCAGGGCGTATGGACGCGCTTGTCCGTCAACAAATGTCACTCATTCCATCATTGTTATCAGAGTATTCTCGGTACGTTGTTTGATTCCAAATGAATGCCCATACTCTTCTGCCGTCCTTGCCACCCCAGGCAGGACCTGTCAACGTCAAGAAGACCCCCTTAGGGGTGGTGCGAAATGGGTCTGAGGGGATCCCTCCTTGAGGATCCCCTCCACTGTAACCCAAATAGGATATAGGGGCATGCCATCGCCATCTAGGTGCCCTCGTCGCCACCATCCTGGGATGGTACGCAGATGGTACGCCGACCCTCCTTCATGAGGCTCCAAGTCCTTTGCATCGCATGTTATGTCTTCTAACACCCTCCCCTAGAATGGCATTTGTCACCTGTCTTGATGGGAGTGCACATTCGCTCCTTTTACTAGTACTTAGTAATTTATGTACATCACACCTGTAGTGATACAACGGTCTACACTCCTATATTGATGCCTGACTCGTAGACGACGAGCGAGGGCTTATGGACAGTGCGTCGTCCTGAAGATCGAGCGAGGAAGTCGAGAATGACCACTACCCCAAGCGAAGAGGAGCAGAGACTTGAATGAATAACCAGGTCGAACTTAGGGTTCGACCGACTAATGGTACAACTACTTATACAAGTACCGACTGCGCACGGACCATCGTGTCTATGTGGTCGTGTTTAGTGAAGAAAGAAACGTAGTGGTACGATACCAGGCACGAAGTGCGCACGGACCCCATTATGTAAGCTACATAATGTTCAACCTGCGGGTGAGCGCTAAGACAGGCGCCAGTATGGGCGCTAGTAGTACAAGGAATAGAACGGAAAGACAAATGTTTCATTACCCCCCTACCAGAGTCGAAGTCTCATTCGACTACTTACTGCTCACCGTCTCCATACAACTCCCAATCTACGCCGTCGTCCTC